CGAAATTCTCTGTGCACTCACACTCTCTTTGTTTTTATCAGGGAATACCTGGGCAAGCAGCTGGAGAAGGAGAACGAGAACCAGAAACAAGGTGCCGCACCCATCTCTGGCAAGGCCTAAGTGGTCCAATCAATCAATCAGTCAGTCATCCATGCACAGGCACACAACAAATATTTTAGCCAGGCCGCCAGCCTGAGACCTTAACTAACAATAAGAGTCGCTGGGGGATCCGATATCTCCAGCACGATCCTTCACTTCTCCACCACACCAACTACTACAACGATGTTTGTTCTTGCTACCCTTAAGCGCATGTTTGTTCCCCGTTTAAACTAAGTTCTTGTTTAGCCCCATACCTCCGTCTACGCCCATTTACGTCCTCGGTCCATAAAACGTATTGAGAGAACAATTCGATTTTTTGTTGGCATTCCAAAAAAAGCAATTCACTATAATGGCAGAGCAAATACAAACGGCTATCCTCCAGGATTGTTCCATTCAATTGTTTATAATTTGTTGTTGTTATTATTATTTGTGTTCTTAATTTTATGTGTGCGCCGCTGTACAGAGTTTTTCTAAACCAGATGATATGCACTTCTTATGTATTATAATCGCGTCAGCGCACCCACAACTAAACGAAAAAGGAAAAATATATTGTATAAACCTATCAAGTATTTCTTTCATTAAAAACTAAATCAAATAAGCATAATTGAAATGAAAACTATGTATTGCATAATAAAGTTGTTATTAAAGTGTACGATAAAGTTTTGTGAGTGTAAAAGAAAATATACATAAATTAGCCCAAATAATTCAAAATTTCAAGTGTATTCTTGTATAATTGTAAAAATTGGCATGTGATTTAAGAGAGCTCTACTCTCTCTTTCAATATTGCTATCTTACTGTGACGCAATATTTGATTAGGTGCTCTTTTAGAATGGTTTCATAGTTCAGTTACTATCTATAGGCTCTTATCTAGGGCACGAGACCCAGGGAAATCTCTTATTGGCTTCTCTTTTTACTATTATTTGATAGTGACACGTGATATAGTAGCTCTCTTTATAGTAACGCCTGACCTACTCTTTGGCTTTTCAATGAATGGTTATCAGAGAAATAATTTTATCACTGAAATACATTTTTCGTGACTAAGAGCTGGGGAGTTCCCTTAAACAGAAACCTCTTAAAAGACAGCATTCTAAAAGCTTTAAAGCTTAAACTTAAGAGCAAGGGATCATAGATCGTTCTAGTAATTTTATTCCCCAATAATTAAATATATCCCCCATTACAAACCACATAATATAGTTTTTAGTTGTTTTTTTTTATTATTTAACTTTTTCTTGTGGCTGTCACAATTCTCATCGGGTTTAAATTAAATATTCCACTTTTTATTTAAATTAAATAATAAATTGTCCTATTTAAACTTTATAATTAACATAATTGTAGTTTTTAGGTCTGTACTTTGTTGATTTGTAGTTGTTGCTGCTGTTGCGGTTGTTTGCCGGACTGTGACTGAACACAATAATACAGTTGGACATCCTGCAGAGGTTGTTGGTGAGTTGATGTACAAGACAGCGCCCGTTTACTTGGTGGCCGACTTCAGGTAGGCGATCAGATCGCCGCGCTCGTTGGGCTTCTTCAGGCCGGCGAAGATCATCTTGGTGCCGGGGATGTACTTCTTGGGGTTCTCCAGGTACTCGAACAGGGTGTCCTCGTTCCAGGTGATGCCCTTGGCCTTGTTGGCGTCCGTGTACGCGAATCCGGCCGCCTGTCCGGTCTTGCGACCGATCAGACCATGCAGGTTGGGGCCCACCTTGTGCTTGCCACCAGCCTCAACGGTGTGGCACTGGGCGCAGCGCTGCACGAACAGCTTCTTTCCCTTCTCAACATCGCCAGCAGGAACACCCATTGCGGATTATGTGATTGATTTATGTGTTAACACGGACTCGACTGTGGAATACAAGAAAATAGATAAAAATTATCAATATTTGCTGATTAATCATTAATTATACTATAAGTATTTATTTCTCTTATCATTTTCCAAACGTTTTAGATTTATTTAATCTGATAATTCGGTTTACACAAGAAACAAATTAATCAAATTCTGAAAAAAAAGTTTTCTAAACTTCAGAATTGGTACATCAAGTGAAAATAAAGAAAGAACAAGAGAGAACGCTATAGTCGGGTGCCCGTCAGATACCCGTTACTCAGCAAAAGGGAGTGCGAAGGAGATGGAGAAAAACTTTGATCCGCCGTAACTTTTTAACGAATGGTCCGATTTAAAAAGTTTCTTCTACATTTCGAAAGGTATTGATAAATACAATAAAACTGCATTTTTACTTTTCCAAAATATTGAAATTTTTAAAATCGTATATTAGCGATTGTGGGCGTTAGAGGGGGCGTGGCACCATTTTGAAACAAACTTGCGCTGCGTAGGAACTCCTAGAATCTGCATGCAAAATGTCAATCTTTTAGCTTTTATAGTTTCCGAGATCTCAGCGTTCATACAGACAGACAGACGGACAGACGGACATGGCTAGATCGACTCGGCTAGTGATCCTGATCAAGAATATATATAGTTTATAGGGTCGGAAACGCTTCCTTCTACTTGTTACATACTTTTGCACGAATCTAATATACCCTTTTACTCTACGAGTAACGGGTATAAAAATGTGTACATAATAAATGAAAACTTTCCATTATGCATAGAATATTAGTCCTAATAATGATGATCATTTTAACAGTAGTACTTTTATTTCCCATTATTTTTCTGTGTGTAGGGGCCATGAAAAAATATTTGTCCCCTTGCCCCGTTATGTAAACAATTGATAAGCTGGCTGCGGAAACGGAATTATTAAAATGGCTCTTGCTAAGTGCATTAGTCGGCTGATGTTTCTGATAAGGCTATAATTTTCATTATCTAACTGAGTCTGCATTTCCATTTACCTTCCCCACTCCCCCTCTAGCCCACATACATATTTTCTCTCCCCCTTTTTCACGCGCGTGTAGGGCAACGTCATCAAAAACGCAGACATTGAAAAAAAGCTTCAGACGCTGGTCACATGTTGTTGCCCCCACTCTAGCTCTCTCTCCCTCTCACACATTCGCCAATCTTCGAATAATAATTGCGTCAGAACGGAATCGCTCAGCAACAGGCGAAAAACCTCTCCAGGAAGCATCGTATGAAAAAACGTTAGTTGTTTATATAACTACTATGGTATGAATCCCAGGGTCTGTGTTACGGTCAACTTGTTAATTGCCGGATAATTAGTTGCATGCAGCTATTTGAACTTGAGAGAGTGCAAGGTGCCGTTGCAATGAGTAAGACACCTACACAAGCACGCAACTACACAGAAAGAAATTGGATAAGGTCAAATAAAGACATTTTTACAATTTCGAAGTCACTTTAAATTAATTATTGAGCTAGAAAACAAAATAAAATATCACATGATTTTTTACAGCTTTATAAAACAAAACAAAACTATTATATTACAATATTACATTTTTATTTCTCTCCGTGTCTGAAACATGCACTTTGAGAGTGACTGATGGCGAGGCAACAACAATGTCAACATCCGATTTGGCCTTGATGAGAATTTTTCAGTTAGTTCTCGTGCGTGAGAGAGAGGAAGAGAAAGTGCAATTGGAAATGGAAAATTGGAAGCAGGCCAAAGGCAGCTGTGTTTTTCCTTTGTGTGGGTGTTCAAGAGAGAGAGACTGAGAACAACGAGATGAGTGCGAATTGGGCCAACATCCAAATTTCCTTAGAAAAGCGAATGTTACATAAGCCGCCTCCTTGCAAAGGTGAAACTTCTGCTTTTTTCCCCATATAGAAAATGGCACATTGCGGAAAGCCAAAACCTGCTTAGCAACCACGTGGCGCGCTTTATAAGCTGAAGCAAAGGCAAACAAAAAAGATTCCAAGAATTGATATATTTTTTTTTGCCAGACTGAGCGAGCGAGACAGCTGATGATCGGGTTCTCTACTCTCTTTGCTCATGTAATCGACGCTCTCCGGGGCTTTTTTCAATGGCAATGTGACTTTGGATTGCTATTTTTACCATTAATAATTTACTGATCACTGTTTTGTCTAAAATGAAAAACCAACAAATAAACTAGTAAACAACTAGGGAGAAAATCTGTATTATACACACACACACAAGGACACGTTTATGTAACCTAAACATCCCCCAAAATGTATTTAATTTGCATGCGAATAACTTTCACAGAACAGCGCGGATGGAAATTATGCAACGTTAACTACGCGGAAGTGTTTCCCATTATTATCTGCCTGAGAACTCGCTAATCAATAACTATTCAAGGTAATATTTACGTCACTTCGAAGTTCGAAAAGTCCACCCACTACTTACATTGAACACAAACGTCGAGCGTCGCCGATTTTTCACGAATGACCGCTATATTTCGTCGTTGGGTTTTTTCAAATTAGTGTGCGACCGTACTTAGCCTGCAAATAAATACCAATATACCAGTTCAGATTCCAAAAATACCAGCCGTGTTAAGTAAAATTTAAAATAATTTTTTATTTAAATAAACATAAAAAATAATCTACAAAGGTCTGTAGGTTATCCCTTTTGGTTTTGTCAAACATTTTTACCATTTATTCCATAATACTGAAACCATTCTTCATAAACTATTATAATACGAGACTTGAGACCTTGTTTACCAATATAGAAATTCAAAAACTCCTGAAAAGCTATTATAATATATCGGAAGATAATATTTTCTTGAACAAAATTCTACGACAAGCCTAAGTTTGAATATTTTAGATATTTGCCAATAAAACGTTTTTTAATAAGACCATACAATCATATGTGTTAAAGGCTGACTGCTTTATAACTCTTATGAACCCCGCTAGGCGCGCATTTCAAATTTAAAAACAGAATAATTCCTTTAACTTTAATTGACTAAAGTATTTTAATATCATTTGGTCTTGGCTTGTTGCCAATTAAAGATAAATAAGGTTAGGTGGCAGCAGAATCTTGTAAATGACTTCTTTGGCGCAGTGTTCCTGATATTATGACTACCAATCTTGTTGTTTCGTAGGCATTTTTCCTTTACTTGTTTGTCTTGAGGAAGGCGATCAAATCGGCCCGTTCTTCGGGCTTTTTGAGACCGGCGAAGACCATTTTGGTGCCGGGAATGAACTTCTTGGGGTCCTTGAGATACTCGTCCAGATTGCCCTCCGACCAGGTGACGCCCTTTTTCTGATTGGCCTCCGTGTACTTGTAACCCGGTGCAGTTCCGCTCTTGCGGCCCACGATCCCGCCCAGATTCGGACCCACCTTGTGCTTGCCACCCACCTCGTAGGTGTGGCACTGGGCACACTTCTGCACGAAGATCTTCTTGCCGTTCTCCGCATCACCTGCACCCATCCTGGAAACTTGTAAAAATAAGGAGAAGGGGTGTACGTTAGTAGGGTTAGTTATTTTTGGAACCCATCTACTGGATTATATAAGAGTATGGGAATTTTTTTTTTTAAATCATGTATAACATTAAGCTAATTGAACATGAATTTCATTTTCTAAGTTTCATGTACATTTTTTAAGATTATAAATAACTTTTAAAACTTATGCAAATAGTAATTTTTTCAGTGTCCTGAAAGAACCGTTTGAAAAGTGCAAGTCCTGCCGACCTGCGAGAGAGCGAGAGCAACTCACTTGGCCACTCTCTGGGCTGCACAATGTTAGACGGAGACAGCTGCAAATGCACGAAAGCAAAAAACGAAATTGGGTCAAAAAAATAAGAAAAACAAAAATTTAATCAAAATGGGTATTAAATGAAAAGCAAACAAGCAGCTCGAGAACTTGGCGGCACTTCTAATGGGAAAAGCAACCGAAAGGTAATTCAATTAGCAGACACAGGCCGCCCTGCCACCCCCTTTTCCCCCATTTCCACCACCACCCCCTCACCCCTTCGCGTTGACTAGCAGATGCACATGTGCTTTGAACATTTCCTTTCAATTAAAACGCATTTTACGCACTCTCTTCCCCTTTGCCCCTCTCTCCGACTCTTTTCATGTGGCAAAAACAGATGCCACCGCATAGCAAAACCAGAAAAACAAAATAGGGAGTCATGAATAAAGGTGGAAAGAGGGGGAAACAGGGGCATATAACGCTAATATGGGAATGGAACTTATTATAAAAACTAAGTATCTAGTAAAAATATTTTAGTCTATTTAAGGGTATTGTATAAGAATAATTATAGCATTTTTAAAAAAATTTACAGACTATAATAATAGAGAAATGGCTATAAAAAAGGGAATGTAGTTTTTTTATTTTTATTTATTAAAAATTTACTTTACTTACTTTAATTTACTTTACTTTTCCTGTCTTCTTAAGTATTAGAACCACTCAAAAACTGCATTCATGTTTTTGAATTTATATGTATGTAGACTTAGATATATGTTTACATAAACCATAATTGGGATAAATATTTGTTCTAGTAAATGTCACATGAGAATAAGTGATATTTTCCAGGCGACTCCCCACTGGCGCCAGGTGCACCACCTCTGCCATCTATATCACCATCCTGGCTCTGTGACCTAACCTAATTTGCCCAGGACACATAATTTACCCGCAGGCAAAACTATCCTGGCTGTTGGACCGAGTTCCTTTGCCTCCCGACCACTATAAATAAATGGCGCAAGAAATTAAATTACGCTTGAACGGGCTCGGCAGAATGTGGCAGTGTGAAAGGGATGGCAGAAAATGGGGGAGTGGAGTGGGGCATTATTGTTTACGAGATCTATTGCTGCGGAAGTCCATAAAAAGGTGAGAGGGTGCTCCGTAAGTGGGGCTTACAAAGCGTGTTGGGGACATGGATAAAGGACAGTCTGCGAACGAAAGGATATGAGAATACTGTATTGGTTAGTGGCTGAGGATGTCGCTAGAGACGTGCGGATATTATTAAAAAATTATAAATTAAAACGCAAAAAGCTTATCTGCTCTTTGAAAATAATAAGAGGTTAAATAATGGAACTAAAGTATCACATGTATGTATGAATTTCCATTTATATTTCCTTTGAAATGAAATCATAAGAACCCATTTGAATTTATATGACTTTTTCAGTTAACAAACCGAAATATAATAAATAACTTTTCTATTGGCTTACAAAGAACGTAGAGCAGGTATACACTCAAAATAAATTTAACCCTAAATTTTAGAAAATCGCCATTAAAATTTCTTTTTTCTAAATACAAGAAAGTTATTTCTAAATCTAAGGAAATTTTTCTTAAGTCAAGAAAGTTTTCCTTAAATCCAGGAAGTTTTTCTTAAATGTAGAAAATGGTTACCATGAACTAAAATCACCCTAAAATCTAGAAAAAATGCCCTTAAAATTAGAAATTATTTTCTGAAAAATGGAAAGGCAAACGAAAATAATAAAATATATTGGCAACACCTTTTCTAAAAATGAGTGCCCTAACCCTAAAATTAAGCTAACCCTAAATAATAGAAACATTTCCTAAAAAGTAGAAAGTTTTTCTAAAAAATAGAAATAGTTGTTTTCACATGCTCTGGCACACCAAAATGTTCAATGCCAGAACTTGTCAGCTGCCGGCCAGCTGTACTCGTGGCGCAGACCGTTAAAGCACTTGGTTAGCAATCGAATCGACGCGGGTTCGAGTCCCAGAGCAAAATTTTTTAACTTTTTTTTTTAATGTTATTTTATTTTTTTTAATTTATTTTATTTTATTTTTATTTATTTTTTTACTTTTTTTATTCTTTTTTTATTGATGGCAAGCAGTAAACTAAAAATAATTAGGTTTATATTCAGTTATTTACTATATACTACACATAATATAAATTGCGTTAGCATAAATATATACATATGTATATACGTATGTAAATAAGTAAATCGCGAATGGTCAAAATTATGCAATTAGTATTCAAATGTGTTGTCCGCTTCACCCTTTACATACATTGCTCGGTTTGCCACAGCAAGTTTAAGTGCTACAATGGCCCAGTATGTAGGCCATTCGCTCCTCGCGCGGGAGACCCGGGTTCGATTCTCACGACGGACAAGTAAAAAATTGTAAGTTTTTTTCATGAACATAAAATATTAACTAATCATAATTTCTACATTCCCAATCTTCCGCAGTCCCGTAGTCCACATTTACAACCACATTTGGCTTTGGTTAGATAAGAAATCCAAGCGCAAATACATAATAATAAATACATAACCTTTAACATTCACAATATACAAGACACACAACGCCTGCATATGTATATAGGGAGGAGTACATAATATAAACGTATATACAAAAAAAAATCATGATTGAACATGTTTTTTTGTTTTGTTTTTAATTTCTATTTTTTAGGAAAATTTCCTACTTTTTAGAAATTTTTGCCCTTAAATTTAGTAAAATTACCCTAAAATTTAGAAATATGACGTAAAAAAAAATCAAAAATATAGAAAAATGTGACCCTAAAATTTAGGGCGAGCTTGTCTTGAAGACAAAAGTAGGGCGATTTCCTTGACTTTAGGGTTAATTTTATTTTGAGTTATACTTTAAGGAAATGGAGATTAACTTGAGACTTGGAACTAAGAAACTTGAGCCGTAACCATGGCTAGTCTAATACATATTATTTAATAAGAGTTCCTTCGAATACTTCAGGCTTGACCACTGGAATCCGAGTTTAGCTTTTTTAGCTCCCTCCCCCCAAGTTTCTAGGTCCTCGGCCAGCGGGTTACCAAGAACAACGCTTTGGCTGTTGCGCAATTTGGCATGACTTTGATATTCCCGCCAAGCCACACCCCCCACAAACTATACCCATAAAGAACCACCTCCACCACCCTGCCAGCCCTGCAATTCGAAAACCCTACATTGCTTTCTCGTTCCCCTTTCTTTTTGATTGCACAGTGGTACTCTTGTAGGGTGAACTTAGATTGCACGGTAAATCGTAAAATTGTTACCAAAAATTCAAATATATTTAAAAAGCTAATTGGATGTTTCTTTTAAAAATAGTAAATAAATTAAAGAAATGTTTAAAAATAAATTTAAAATCCCAATAATATCGAAATAATATCTTTTACTATGACTATACAATTTGTTTTTTTGATTGACGGAAGTAGTACTGTGTATGTTACAGCATGTTTATACTACGCGCTTTTCACTGCTGTGGCTGCTTCTCCTTCTTCTTCGTTGCTTTCTTTTGAGGGGGTGGCGGGGGCTGGAGAGATGGCTTCTTTTCTAGAACGAGGTCGCTGACTGCCCTTCAACGCTTTCTGCTTTCTGTGCCTTCGGATGCCCGAAAGTTACATAAGCCCCAACAAGAACAACAACACCGCTAGTTGGCTTTGCATTTTATGCTGAGAGAGGAGAGACCAATGGGGCCAGAGAGAGTATAGAGAGAGCAGCCCCAACATAAACGACAGAGAGAGAGAGGGACAGAGCTGCAACGCTGCGCGTGAGAGAAACGCTGGGAATGTGTGAATGAAAAATTGCTAAAAATTCTTCATTTCAGGCAATTTATAACTGTTCCTTGCTGCGACTGCACTGCTGACGTCGCTGCATCGATATCAAAGTGGAAAAAGGGGCGAGATAAAAAGGGGGTTTGGCAAAAGTTTGAGAATGAAATGGATTTTAAGTTACATGGTTTTTAAAAGTTTTTAAAAAATGTTATGAGTTTTCAAATATAAATAATATTTAAATAAGGTACAAGGATGTCTGCAAAATCGGACATTAATTGTAAAACCTTAATAAACACTCAATTACGCAAAGTTGGGTGCTGTGCGCCTTACGTCACTTAAAGCATACTTAAAAAATGTTTTGTAAAAAATCGAAAATTTATTACTCATACGTACTGTGGTCCTTGATCAAAATTTAATTTAATATTTGTATGTATGAATGTATTTGGCGTGAATTTTTTTCCCAAAAAATGTTTGGTTTTATGGTCTACCTTTTATTTGTATTAATTTTTCCATCGAAATCAATAAGTGAACAAGGTTTCATTAAGTATCATGCCTGTATAGGAGGCACTAACAATGCAACAGCTTACCTGCTGGACGCCTCTCTCTCGCTCTCTGCCGCTGCTTGTTGCTCTGCCCCCACTACTTGGAGCTCTCTTTCCTGCTCTCTTGAGGAGCGCTGCTTGGGGCAACTGTGGCTGCTGCTCCGCTTGGCGTTTTCATTCAATCAGCTGAGTTCGCGGCGTTCGGTTCTTTTCCCGATTCTCTTCACCGTTTACCGTTAGCGTTGCGTTGCACAGCGATCGAATACTACGCGCTTTACGTCCGAGGAGGAAACGAAAATCGTACAAGTTTTCGAGTTTTACAAAATCCCTCAAAAACAACAAGACTCGGCGAGAACGGAAAATTTGTTAGCTGCTTGTCACCTTCGAAAAGTATCTGTGTTCTGACCGCTGCAACGATTGTCGAGAGCATTTCAGCCAGGGCCTACTTAGCTGATTTAAAAAGGAAATCAAGGAAAATAAGCTAAGGGGCAGCCACCAGAAAGGAGCTGCCAACTTGCAAATTACGGTAAGTTTATGGGGCCGTTAGCGCTGGCGTTACCGTTACCACCCAGTGCTGTGTAACGCTCTACTCTTTTATGCTGCGTGTGTCCTTGCGAAGGCTGCACGTGTCCTTGAAATGCGTCAAGTGGTTCCTACGACGCTCTCTTTCTCTTTCTCATCGCTGGCACTCTCTCCCTCTCTTTCTGTTCTTTTTACGCATTTTACGTAATCACGCCTAAAAGTTTTTTGTTTTTTTTTTTCGTGTTTGCGTTTTGCTTTCAAGCGTAAATCTCGACTCGTTTTTCATTTGGTTTTATGACCTGCCCATTCCCATTTCCACCCCGAGTTCTTTCGCATTTCCTTTATAAATTCCGATATGAACGAGAGCTCTGCGACTTATGTGCTTCCTGCCTAAAACCAGATTATCCCATAAGGGTCTCGCTTTTTTTTATCGGCGAAGGACATCTGCATATGAAGAGGATGAACCACAACTTGAAAGGCGAATCTATTTCTTTATTTATTTTATGGGAAATTGATTTACTTGGCTCGGAAATTGCGTTGTAATACTTTAGGTAAGAGGGTTACAAAAAAAGATTTATAAAAAAGGGTTACGATAATGTGGTATGTTTTTAGGTAAATCATCTAAATATCTAAACTTCCGTTTTTAAAATTGTTTATAGTATATTTACATTTTTTTGTACCGCAAATGGAACAGTTTCTGGTCTGGCCGAGCACATTAAGTTAAATACATATGTACGTTTTCGAAACTCGAATCTTTGATTGAAAAAATAGGTTTATTCTTTACTTTTATAGCTGTTTCAAATGATCTTCTCGGTACTTATAAAAATTTCATATGTTTAGAATAATATACAACTTGTCAAACAAAAAAATATTATTATTTGTGGGTACTTGTGTAATTTCATATTTTTAGAATATATGTTAATTGTTTATACTTCTGCATGCTTTTTCTTTTTATAAATAAGACACTTTTCTTCAGTAATATCAGTTTATGTTTTAAATAGCTAATTTTAAGAAAAAGTTTATTCAAAGGAATTTAGCTGGTCGACTGAACTTTATTAACATTGGCGAATTCTTTTGAACTAAAAGTTGGGCCACAGTTTTCCATCCCGTTGATTAAACATAACCTTGCTTGGGAACTTTGAAAGTGGCTCTCATGCGAACTGAAGCGCATAAGCTTTCTGTTTGGTTGTCATAAAGAATTGGCTCGTTCCTTTTTTCTGGTGGCAGTTGATTACTTTTGCCCCATGTACTCGACGAGTAAGTTCGCACACAAAAAGTTCTCAAAGGCTTTCTCGGCCCCGCCTCCTGTTTTTCAATTATGTCACTTCATCTGTATTCCACACACCAGTCACTGATGTACCGCCCCCTTTTTGGCTTCAGTTTATTAATCATTTCTGCCCTTTGTTTATGCCTTGGCAGGCACTGGCATTTTATATAGGCCAATGAGCCGAACTGTATGTGCGGCATGGCCTTTTGTTATGAGCTATGAGCCGCAGCTAGTTCACATGGCGGTGCCCCAACATCAATTACAGCATAAATGTTGAGGAATTGCCATAATTTAATTAATTTGCTTTGTCCTGCTGGCAGAGACATTAAACTTAATGATTAATATTCATCGTGCGAAGACCGCTAACCGATTCGGTGTAATGAGCCAACTTTAATGCCATTGGTGGCAATTGAACACTTGGCCATTTAATTGGGCATTCACTGTAGCCCACAAAAACGAGTATATAACTCATCTACACTATTTATATCAGCTATCCGATTCTCTATGTAGGTCAGCTCTGTTGGTCGTTCATTTCTTATCATATCGTTAAGTGCACTTGGTGTCCCTCAACCATAACTATAACCAACATATGGGCTATGCCTCCATCCAGAAAACCCAAAAAAGAAAAAAACTTATCAAACTTTGGGTCGTTTGTATTGCATTTATAACACTCGGAAACTCGGGGAAGCCACCACAAAAAAAAGGAAATCAATATTTGCGCTTAAAATAATAAAGCGAATGGAGGAAAACCAAAACAACAAAGGAGATTACAAACACGAATTGGTTTTCCCAACTCAGTGGGGTCAGAAAAATGGGGCGGACATGAAGTGTTTGCCAGATAAGCAAAGCAAGCACTACCTAACTACTCCCCCAACTTCCCGCTGAGTGCATTTTCATTAACGAGAAATATATAAATGTCATCAGTGACATCAACAAATTTGTGGCCAGCTGGCTGAAAACCAGAGATATTTCAAAAATGAATCGTCATGCGGAAAAAGTGCTTTAAATTGGCTGAATGTTTTGTTTTGAATAATTTAAATTTTGGTATACATTTTAACAGATTTGATAGATGACAGAAGCTTTCCATGAATTATTAAATGGTCGAAATTATATTTAGAATTTGTTTACTCAAACATTTTTTTTGGTTCATGGCTAGAATGTGTTTTACTATGAAGCAATAATTCTTTTTTAAATGTAGGAAAAAAGTAATAACAATTTTCAGATGAGACAAATTTCTGATTTCAATTTTGAAATATTGGCTGTGCATTTTGCTGAAGTCACTTTCTTGATGGTCCGGATGTGATACAACATAACCTATTTGAGAAAATTCCAATTAAACCATTTTATTGTTAATTTCCCTATTTTATCTACGAAATTTCAATTACCCAAGAGCGGAAATGGGCCCCAAAAAACCGAAATGAGCCTTGTCACTCAAATCCCGATAAAAGTTCACAGCTGTGCTATGGATGGGAATGGTTGAAACGGCTAGAACCCAACCGAATTTTTCCCGTTGCGTTTGACTGATTGAGATTAGCTGAAAATTAATGACAAGGCATCAGTCTGGGCTTACAATGAGCTCCGAAACAATTTTGCCAACCGAAAAACAAAAAAAATACTAAGCCGACAACGATGAATGGCATAAATTATGTACAACAATTTACACGCAGAACCAGGACTTGCTGAAAATTCCGAAGCGTGCCAAGTGGAAATTGAAAATGGTCAGTGGAAATGAGCAGCGAAAAGGAGGAACTCAAGTTTGACAGGAAAGGCAGGCAGACAGGATGGCCCGTCATGTCAATTAGATTTAATCGAAAATCGATGTTTGATATTTGAGCTTGCAGTGCCGAAAAGGTCACGAAAAGGTTGATATCATATGCAAAAAGTTGGGGTCAAACCCAATGACCCTTCCCCCATCAATCCAATTTTCCAGCTGCGTGAGTGTGTGTGGTCTTCAATATTTTCACAGCGTCATCTTTGTTTATTTTGTGGCCCCACGAATAAGTGTTCTGAATTATGCATTGGCCACGATTGAAAGCACTTGAGAGAAAAAGAGGGAAAGACCCCCACGTTAAGCTGGAAAACTCATTGCAAACTGAATTGCTTCGGTCAGCACAGAAAGTTTTAAAGTCATCGAAAAGTGGGCCAATGTAGGTTTGGGGAAACTTCTAAAGAGTGTGTGAGGTCTTGGACTTAATTGGAAATTCTTGACAGAACAAACTTTGATGTCAAGAAACTAAGAGTTTTAAAGTTTTCAAGAAAAGTGTCTTAGGATACTAACATAAATAAAATATTTATTCATTTAGCTTGCTAAGATATATTTTTATAGATTTCCTAATAAATGAAAATTAAAACCATTTAGTTTATCTTTTCGGTTCATAAATCTTTCGCTTCGCCCATCAATTAGTTTTATTTGTAATACCTTTAAACAGAGATACTTTTTGGAGTGTTAATGCGTGAAAACAATTCACCAATTGCTTATAATTATTGGAATTTCTTAATCAATTAGTATTATTTTATTTACTTCAATGTTTAAACAATATGTGCATGCCCTTGAAGCCGATTTCAATTGAAATTTAATTTGTTATTTTCATCATTCAGATTTCATTGGTTTTTTATGCCTTGCCTTTAGGCTGCCTTCATTTGAATTTTATTGGGATCTTTTTCCGTTGTTTCATTAATTTATTTAAATCAATTTAATGAGCCATAAAACGATGCCCCCCATCAGCGAAGCGATCTCTCGCCCTGTCTAGCCGTATTTTTCCACCATCTATTTGGCTTTGTGAGCCGCATTTCTTATCAGGGGCAGGCATAAAGATTTTCCCATCATTATGTAAGAGGTTAGCTCGGCCGTTAAACCATGCTTCAGATCCACTCCCCCTTTTTCCCCTTAGCCAAGTTAACGAGCTGCCCACAATGGGACTTTGGTTTAGCTAATGACCAACTGACTGGCGAAGCTGACCGCGCAATTTCTTTTGACCAACTTTGAACTTCGCATACACAGTTTTTCTTGCCTCTTTTTCCTCTTTCTTCAACTTTATTTTTGGGTGGCCGCATTTGGCTTATTGTTTATTGGCTTTTCCTTCGCCTTCGTCTTGATGTTTATTATTGTTTACGTTGGCATTTCATGCGCAATAATGGTATAATATTTGCATTCGTATTGGCGTACGTGGCGTATGGGTAATGGTCGTGCCAAAAGAACAGGAAATGGTCAGTGGCCATTGTGGCCATCGGGGATATTGCACATCGGCATCCCTTGGTTCCTCGCACTCCGCATAATGGTTTGTTTGAAAATGTATTTAGCTGTCTGGGGAATGTTTTTTCTATGGTCGAATTGTGGCTTATGAAACTATTAAGGTGCTATTTCGCAAAGGGTCAGTGACTGGTCTACAAATGTGTTAGTGAATTTGTTAAGAGAAAATATAATAGAAAGACTTACTTTTAATTTAATTTAGAAGGTTTTAAGTAACAGATTTTCTTCTTCGGAACTTTTGCTATTAGATCAAATCAACAAGCATTATATTGTTAATCCGCTTAAACATATGTACAAAAAATTTGAAAATGTAATTAAATAAAAATACTCAAATACTGCTGGATAAATAATTCCCATTCGAGTGAGAGTGAAAGGAATTTTGGTATTCAAAAAGAATGCAACAAAAAATGTTTTCTGAAAATCCCTCTACAACCAAATTTTTGATCCACCACTGATTATAGTTATTTGTGTAAAGATTGAATATAAA